TTCTGTGAAGTCAAGTTATTTCTTGTTTTTAAAGCTATAGGTATGTAATGGCGTACAAATGTGAAATTATTATGTCGATAGTGAATGTATCCAACTGGTACAGTTTATTGATTGACAATAACCTTTTAATCGAATACTAAAAACGATAGTCTGTTATTGCCTTGAAATTTTGTAGGTTCGGCTATAGATGTATATTAGTATATTTGACCTACAAGTCGTTAATAGTTCAGAAAACTTTAAACCGAGTTTTAAAATAGTTTTGATATTAACGTTGATGTATCTAATATTACAGGGTGGCCCATCGAAAACGTTCCGCAAGGCATAACGGTCAAGAATTTTTTTTTTTCAGAAAATTCAAAAACACGTCAAATCCCCTTTGTTTGTGAGGGGGACAACTTTTGCCCCAAAAATGATTGCAAAATCTTCAACCCTCTAACTTTTTTCAAATGGGAAGGGGGGTCAAGTGGTACCGCAATGAAAAGGGCTTTTTATTCTCTATACTTTCCCGCTTCGTTTTTGAAAATCGGTTGAGTCATTGAGAAAATATGAAGGATTGAAATTTGAAAATTTTATTTAAATATTTATCAGAGTAAATGATAAGGATAAATTCCTTCGACCAATTTGCTGTTTTTTCTTATTATTTCTAGATGTTTACGAATTTTTTCACTTGCCACAAGGTTGAACGATCAGGTGCGGCAGTTGCTAGATAGCTGTTCTCTGACTTGTGGGTTGAAGTTCTTCTCAATATCGTTAAACTTTTTATCAATTATGGTGCACTCACTTGCAGAAAAAGTGGAAATAATCGAACTTTATTTTAAAAATAATGAATGTAGTAATCGGGTTCCGCAGATATTCAATGAATGCCATCCTGAAAAACAGTGAGTAGCAAAATTTCGCGAAACTGGTTCCGTTATGAATAAAAAGAGGCAGAGGGAAAACCCTGTAGTAAATGAAGCTATGGAGGTATTCGTATTGGGTCAAGTTGCCATGGATAGTACGCTGAGTACAAGAAAATTAGCCAATGCAAAATTAGCCGGCGTGAATCGTACCAGTGTCCACAGGATATTAAAAAAACACAAGTTCCACCCGTACAAAATTCAGTTGGTACAAGAACTCAACGAAGACGATTTTGATCGTCGCTTGCAATTTTGTGAAACTGTGAGTGAACGAGTGGCGAATGATAATAATTTCCTATTTAATATGTGTTTTTCGGACGAGTGTACTTTCTTTTTGGACGGTGTAGTTAATCGGCATAACTGTCGGTACAGGGCTGAGGGTTTTTTCACGAGGTGCACACACAAAACCCTCAGAAATTGAACGTGTGGGCTGGTATTTTTGGAAATTCTATTTTGGGCCAGTTTAACGATATTGAGAAGAACTTCAACGCACAAGTCACAGAACAGCTATCTAGCAACTGCCGCACCTGATCGTTCAACCTTGTAGCAAGTGAAGAAATGCGTAAACATCTAGAAATAATAAAAAAAAACAGCAAATTGGTCGAAGGAATTAATCCTTATCATTTACTCTGATAAATGTTTAAATAAACTTTTCAAATTTCAATCCTTCATATTTTCTCAATGACTCAACCGATTTTCAAAAACGAAGCGGGAAAGTATAGAGAATAAAAAGCCCTTTTTATTGCGGTACCACTTGACCCCCCTTCCCATTTGAAAAAAGTTGGGGGATGACACCCCCCTTAGAGGGTTGAAGATTTTGCAATCATTTTTGGGGCAAAAGTTGTCCCCCTCACAAACAAAATTGACGTGTTTTTGGATTTTTTGAAAAAAAGAATATCCTGGCCGATATGCCTTGCGGAACGTTTTCGATGGGCCACCCTGTATGTCTAGACAAGTTACAAATAAAAATATTTCTTTATTATATATATTATAAATATTTAACTGAAAACTATAAAACATACATGTTATATTTATTATATGTAATTAATTAATATTCTTAACACATTGTTAATCAAGAACAATAATTGTAATAATTCTCTATATTATTTCATTTTACAAAGGAAATATAGATAGAGTTCAATTTGCCCGTTAATTCGGTGTAATTTTATATAATTTAAGTTTTCACAAATTAGTACATTACAGACAGTGAAGAAAATTACAATATTTGATATCAAGTTAATACTAAGGGGGGATACTAACTGGAAATATTAAGTTGATTTAACTGGAAATACTAAGTTGATTTTATATTTACTCACAGTCTGTCCAAAAATATTGCAAACAGATCTTAAAATTTTCATAAATTTTTTCATAAAAAATGTCTGCTTTGTATCAAATTCTAAATAATCTAGCCATCAATGAGTTATTGTTTTATAAAAATTTAATTATGAAAGTTTTCAAGTATTAGGATTCAGGACCCATTGCAATCAAAGCTGTAGTGGGTTTACTAAGAGAGTATTAATAAATGAATCAAAAATATATTTTTTTCAACCTTTTCTAAAAAAAATATTACGAGTACCTACAAAGAACTGTCCTGAAATCAAATCTATATTAGTAGGTGTTTACTTTAGATGGTCTATACTTACTTTGCTATAAATATCGTAATCTTAAATTATACAGCCAGTATGATTTAAGCAATTATGCAAAATTTTGCAATATTATACAGGGTGTTTCATTAAAAAAAGCATCCCTATCAACTCACACTTTTTTGAGCCACCCCAACCCAATAGAAGTTAAAATATTTTTCTGAAATACATCCTAGTAAAACTTTAGGTTTGCAATTTAACAAAAGTCTCAATTTTTTTTTAACTATATTATATTAACCGATTAAAAAACTAAATTAATAGTAGAACTTCACTAATGTATTATCTTCTTTATGGGACTATTTAGTTATTAAAATATACGGAAATATTTTATAAAGACCATAGGTGGGAAATATAGAAAATCATTTTTGTTTGTTTTTAGAAACTGAGAATGGTGGGAATGCTAATAAATGCCTAGAAAGCGTATTTATGGAGTTTGTTTGTTTCTGTAATGTAACGGATACATTGCTAATAGTACCTACTTTACTGCACGTCGCTTAAACTACGACTTAACACGCCACATACAAATTAAAAAATGATAGAAAATAAATATTTGTTCCTAACTACCTAACTGCATATTAATAATATAATTAAATAACAATAATTTTTCACGTAACTGCAGAACTTTATTTTTATTGCTTTTGAAATTAATTATATCTTAATTATTTTTCTAGGTTTTTGGCAAAACGCATAATTCTCGACAATCATTAAGCAGAGAATACAAAATAGATCAAAACATCGCCAAAATACAAGGCAAAATTAAGTCTAAAGAAATGCATAACATATAAAATATATGTAGTGGAGGAAGGGGTGATTTCGACAGAGGACATTCAATTTACTTTTGAATTAAAATAAGTGACAACAGTAAAATGTCACTGTCCTATATAACTCTTGTTGAATAAACTATATATCTGTAAACGGTATCTGGTTGTTAAATTTTTAATTGGTATTTTTATTTTGAAAAATTCAATTTTAGAAAAAAAATATAGCTAGTTATAGATATTGGAAAATATATCGAAAAAAGTAAAATACATATACAGGGTGGTCCGAACTGTATTCGGGAAACTTCGGTAGCATATTCTGCAGATAAAAATAAGTTAAAAAGTTCGTATAAATGTATGTTCTAAAATGCTTAGTTTCGGAGATACGAGGTGTAGAAATTTCATTTTTATTTCGATTTTTTCAAATAATTTCTGAAGTAACGTCAATATTTACATAGATGAAAATTGGTGTCTGGGAGTTTTTTGACATGAGAAATTTGATTTTGATGTCAATATGACTCCTACTGGTAGAGGGCGCCACCTACATATGTGTTTTAACTGTTAATAACTTTTTGTCCGTACCTGTATAAAACTACCGAGGGAAAAAATATAGATCTCTGTGATTTTTTACGTAAAAAATATATCTTTGTAAAAATCTCTACGAGCAACCGTTCTCAAGATATTTAGAATGAAATCGTAGTAGAATGAAAGAATGAAAATAGTCAATACATGCCATTAACGAAAAATAAACACGTTGAGTAGATAGTTATTTCACTGAAATAATAAATTTGGGAAATTATTATTTTTTTAAAAAAATCATATTTTTCTGCAAAAAAATGATGATAAAACAGCCTTTGTTGAACTTTTGGTACAAAAACATTTCAAATTTATGATCCCAGTCTAATAATTATTTAGTCAACATGTTTAATTTATATCAGTGATGACAGGTATTGATAACTTGGATTCCAAAGATCTCGAAAACTATTGCTCGTAGCGATTTTTACCAAGAGACCTTTTTTACGTAAGAAGCGTCGTAAATGTATATTTTTTACTCAGTAGTTTTATACAGGTACGGACGAAAAGTTATTACTCTTCAAACCAGTTAAAAAATATGTAGGTGGCGCCCTCAACTAGTAGGAGTCATATTGATATCAAAATCAAATTTCTCATGTCAAAAAACTCCCAGACACCAATTTTAATCTAAATATTGACGTTACTGCAGAAATTATTTGGAAAAAATCGAAATAAAAATGAAACTTCTACACTCTGTATCTCCGAAACTAAGCATTTTTGAACCTACATCTATACGAACATTTTTACATATTTTTATCTGCACAGTATGCTGCCAAAGTTTCCGGAATACAGTTCGAACCACCCTGTATACTTTAATTTGCCGCCTTAAGCTTGTTATGTTCGAATTAATATAAGATACCGCGTTTTATTTGAAACATAAGTATGAAAGGTATGCAACTCTAAATTCAACAAATATCAAGATCTCCTGCTATTATGTAATATACCTATAGTAGAAATCCGATTTTACAAGCCTCTTTAGCTCAGTGGCAGAGCACTGGTCTTGTAAACCAGGGGTCGTGAGTTCAATCCTCACAGGAGGCAAAGCAGTGGTGTGCACTTTTTTTATATTTTAATTTAAAAAAATATAATAATAGTAAATAATTTTATCAAACGATTATTTTTTCTTTCAGATATTATGCGTTTATCCGAAGCTGATATATCCTTGGCCTGTAACCGGAATTGCTCTATGGTTGGGTTTGGTACAAGATTTACTGATTCCAATTGGTCTGGGAATTGTGGACTCCAGATTTTGTGGCTGGGTGTCAAATGTATACAGATGCAATGCTAAACATACTAATGAAAAATTACCACAAGGTACGATTTATATAATTTTGGTTGAATAAATGCTAATAGAAGTTACTTATTTTTTTCTAAAAGTTTGTGTTTTTTTATTTTTCTTATAAAATGAGTTTAATGTTAACATTACTACTTTTTCAGTGAATCTTTAAATCTGTTGTTTTTTGTTAAGTTCGTTATTTAAACATATGTATGTAATACACTCATATTAACACTAATCATATTTTTACGTTTTTATTCATCATTTTCAATGCCCCCCCGGTTGCATCTTTGTAAAGGACTGTGAATTTTTTACTGAGTTATCGAAAAATGGGACAACTGTTATTACAGAAAATTAAAGAACTACTTTTAAAAATGGGAAGTGGAATTAAGTAACAATGATATCGAAAAGTACAAATGGGAAATAATTTTAGGCCCCTATACTATTTTAAATATATACAGAAGATGATTTAAAGTATGTTTTCTTTAAAATATATACGGGTGGCCCATTAGTTTGAGGAAGTCTAATATCGTCGTTGTTGCCGAAGATATGAGAAAGAGTTTTATACAAATTTTGCATGGTTTATAAAGGTGTATCTTCTAAGAATATTTTGTTGTATACGGGGTGTTTCAAAACAGGGAATGATAAAAGTTATAAGTTTTTTTGCACCCTCAATTTTTCTGTACAGAATTGTATTTAGCATAAAATTGGACATTTAGTACACTATTTTTATTTGAAGCACGATGCAGTGTTGCCATATTACTTCTTATTTACTGAAATTTTGGTTAAAACTATATATTTTCCTAAAAAAAAGAAAATTTATATTATCTCATTTTAAAAAAGTTATGTAATCTCAGAATCTGAGATTTGGAGTTAAAAATCAACTCCAAATATAGAAAAATTCTATATTTGGAGTTGATTTTTGATAAATAGATATAATTCACACACAGCTGACAAGCCTGCGAAAGTTATTATGTAAAGTAGTCTTATAACGTGTGGTTCATCGCAACAGGGGACAGGAAATTCCATGTAATTTTTAAAAAGGTCAAATATTATCAGAGGATTTTATGCAAAAGTTGAATTAGATATTTTTGAAGATTTAGGATTTTTAACATTATTTTTTGATGATTTTCATTGACATTTGACATTCCAAATTTACATGGAATTTCTTACGTTTTTTGATGTACCACACGGTATATCCTATAAGTTATGTACAGGGTGGTCGAAATTGGTCTGTTTAAATAGAGAAAACCTATTTCCTGACTAGAGAGAGCAAAACCGACATAGATGTCATGGGCTTGATTTCTGAGACACGTTTGATGGTATAAACGGCCTGTTAATATTTTCACTGCCAACTGAGATACGGTTTTTTTTTAATTTTTTACCATTTGGAAAATTGCCCATAACTTTTTTATTTCGCGGAATAATAAAATTCTGTAAAGACGTTCTTAAGGCACTTTTTTGAGCACAATCCAGTGGCGTAGTGAGTTTTTTTCTATGCTTGCTCTTTTTATCAGAAATAATAAAAAATATAATTTTTTAAATGGAAATCATAGTTGGCTATGAACTTAAAAAATGCTGGCGTTTAACCATTTCGAACGATATAAGTTATGGGTATCTATTTCTAAGAATGAGAGAAATACTAGGTTTTTCATCTTTGTATCGAAGTGTGCCTTGATTTTGTGTTGACCTAGTTGTCTAATTATTTTTTATCGCAAATTAATATTCTATATTATTATTTATCTGCATAATTAAAGACTTTTGAAAAGGCAAATTAACATTCTATTTTAGTTTAAGTAATTATAATAATTGAAATCGATACAATAAACAAAGAACAAAGCTAAAAAACGCATTTTTTGAGTGACGAATATAGTTTTCTAAAAAAATCGTCTAAACTGAGCACCTCCTTGTTGAATATACAATAAACATCTTTTGCGCACAGAGTTATAGTTATTAGGCGAACTGGTGTAATAACTTAATAAGTCCAAAAGCTTGCCTAGTAGCCTTCTGCAATTCCCCTTCTCTCGTCCCAATGGTTCCTCCCTTATATATAAGATCTTTTAATTTCCCCCATAAAAAAGTCGAACGAAGTCAGAAGTCAAAATCACAGGACCTAGCAGGCCGTTGTTCCAATCCGATTCTCTCTGAATTCTCCATTTAATGGCGGTTTAGTTGTAATTGGTAAAACTAATATAAAATGTTGATTTACCTTTTCAAAAGTCTTTAAGTTTGCAGATAAATAATAATATAGAATATTAAATTTCAATAAAAAATAATTAGGCAACTAGGTCATCACAAAATCAAGGCCCGCTTCGATACAAAGATCAAAAAACTAATATTTCTCTCGCTCTTAGAAATAAATACCCATAACTTTATGTCGTTGGAAAGGATTAAACGTCAGCATTTTTTTAAGTTCATAGCCAACTATGATTTCCATTTAAATAATTATACTTTTTATTATTTCTGACAGAAAGGGCCAGTATAGAAAAAAAATGACTACTCCACTGGATTGGGCTTAAAAAAGTGCCTTAAGAACGTTTTTACACGATTTTATTATTCCGCGAAATAAAAAAGTTATGGGCAATTTTCAAAAAGACTCCGTATCTCAGTTGGCAACAGGCGGTTTATGCCATTAAACGTGTCTCAGAAATCGAGCCCATGACATCTACGTCGGTTTTGCTCTATCTAGTCAGGAAATAGATTTTCTCTGTTAAAACAGACCAATTTCGACCACCCTGTACAGACACAAATAATAATTATGCCTTATTTTTATTTTTAAGTTGGTTTGGATGGAAAATTTCGCCCGTTTGGTTTATCTAGTCAACCGCAAAGTTTAGACATCAACCACCATGAACGATCCAAAACACTACAACAAGTAGAACATCGTTTCCCCATTACCAATGGTTCGCTATACACCAGCATTGATGGTCGATTACCCGTCATCCATAATTATCGAAGACATAAGGAATTTAGAACAGGTATATATCTCTAAAATAAACCTGGTTTTACTATAAATATGTTTTTACGGAAAAATACTAGATACTAAGATATTTTTCTGAAAATTTGGAATATTGTCATTAAATCAAAGCAACTAATCAAAGCAACTTTGAAATCAAAATATTTATTTTATAGGTATAATGTAAAATGAATCATTATTATATAATAACAAAATTTATGTTCAAAGTCAAAATTTAATTGAAAATATCCAAACAATACACATTAAGACACATTTGAACATCTACAAATTGTTGCTGCTATATCAACCAAAACAAACTAAAAATTCAGCTTAAAACTTAACGTAAAAATAAATGCTGTGAAAATAAGTAAACCTTTGATTAGCAAAACAACATTACTTTAGATTAATGTACTAATTCTACAGGGTGTTCCAAAAAACATGTGCCCTCCCCCGTAGGAAAATTTCATCCAGTAAAAATAAGATTTATTTTTTTTATTGACATAGATCCTATTCTGCTTTGTTTCGTAGCTAGAGGTTAGTCTTAATTTTGTTTCGTTTTATTATAATTTTCTTCCAAGTGCTTGTAGCGATTTCAATGACATTTTCTGGGTGAAAGCTACTATAAGTTCGACATGTAATACTGCTAAAAAAGTGTCGACAGATTCACCAGGGACGTGCATATGGGATATCACCGGAAGGTTTTTCTAAAAAAAACATGTACGCCACTGATGTTTTTTTCTCTTGTTAGTAAAATTGTTTTTTTTAGAAAAATATTCTAGTGATATATATATATATATATATATATATATATATATATATATATATATATATATATATCTACGTCTCTGGTGAATATGTCGACACTTTTTTAGCATTAACACTTGTAGCCTCTTGTAGTAACGTTCACCCTCAAAAGTTTATTTGAATCACAGCACTTGGAAGAAAATTATAATAAATAAAAAAAAAGAAAATTTGAATCCCCTGTTACTACGAAAAAAGCAGGATCTAGCCTATGTTGATATGAAAAATAAATATTATTTTTATGTGAGGTACCTCTCCACGAGAGATGACACATGTTTTTTGAAATACTCTGTATTTATTATTTAAAGATGCTAGTTCTATATTTGAAGACTTGAAGTAAATAATGTTCTTAGTGCTTAAAAATCGCTTTGTCATGTTTTATTTGTAAAAGGTCTTAAGTTCCATAACCAACAACATACCGGGTGCGTCTCAAAAGTGGCTCACCCCTATAACTTATTTATTTTTTCAGTTAAAAATACGACGTGTTTGTATGTTAGTATATGACATAAATTAGGATAGTTTGACGTATTCAATTGTTTTTGGTCACTTCTCTTTTCACCGGAAATGACTACAACTTTTGAATTTTAAATGGCACCCTCGGTATTTTTTTACTTTATTTGATAAAAAATAAAACTCTGAATAGAATGACATAATATATGTCAACTTTTGACATTTTCGCATATGGTTTATTTGAAATTATAACTTGCGGTTTGTAACGAAAATTTGACTCGAAATACCAAGTATCTGGTATCAAATTTCAAATTATTCGTAAAAAAATGCTTTTTCCAAATATGCTAATGAGCCACCCTCGTTCCATTTGAAAAAACTGAGATATGATTAAAACTACCATTTGAGCATTTTCTAACTAGCCAGGACAAGACACTACAAATATTAGACGATCAAATCTATTTTTCCAAGGCTCCTAGATTAAGAATTAGTATTTTTAACTTAGCCATGGCACTCTAGATTACATTTCAAATATGATTTTTTATTAAGCGAGAATGTCAAAAGTTGACATATGATATGTCATTTTATTCAGAATGTCATTTTCTATCGAATAAAATAAAAAAATGTTGAGAGTGTCATTTGAAAATCAAAAGGTGTAGTAATTTCCGATGAAACACGAAGTGACCAAAAACAAATGAATACGTCAATCAATATTAATTTATGTCATATACTAACATACCAAATCTCGTTTTTTTATCTAAAAAAATAAAAGTTATAAGAGTGAGCCACTTTTGATATACGCATCCGGTATATATATATATATATATATATATATATATATATATATATATATATATATATATATATATATATATATATATATATATATATATATATATATATATATATATATAATGCGTTAAGTGCCACGGCTATTATTAAGTTATATTGAAAAAATTCTCAACAGAGACACCGCCATTTTTTCTACATTGGTTATATAACAAACCATGTATATATATATATATATATATATTCGTATGAAATGCTAAAAAATATAAATAATGACAGGACAATTACTCTTAAATATTAAATTATTTTTTTAGGAACTTTGAAACAACAACACGAGCTACAATCGTCCAATATGGCACTGCATTCATCTCACCTGAACAGAAGAGATTTAGAAACATCATCTGACAACTTCACCAACTGTACCAGTTGCGAAGCTGACCAATGTCCGAGCCATTCTGATTTGCATCACTTGAGTCCTCAGTACGTTCACCGAAAACTGAGTTTCCTTGAAGCTTCCCAAAACAACGTCTTTTCGCTGAACAGAGAAATAAAGAACGAAGAACATAAAAATCAAAGACTCGTGCCCAATCATAAGAATTGCTTGTTTGTTGGAAGTCGAAGTTTCCAAAATCCTCAAAACTTATTCCAGCAAACTAACGTTTTAGTTGACACGAACAGACAAAAGCAATTAGTTAACTTTAATAACAGGAGACTAAGCCAGAGTCAAGAGAGCATTAATCATCTTTATTTTGATGGAAGAATAAATCGTGGGGATAATATTGCAGAGAATCTCTTTCATCATAGATCTGATATGAATATTACACGACCGACTTTTAACTTAGATTCACAGTTAAATAGTCAAATGATTAAAAATTCCAAGAACATGTTAAGGTAATATTTTTTGCTTTTATTTCTACATTTTTATGGTGTATTTACTACTAATTACAACTAGTTACTTAATTAATTTAACTAATTACGAACTGATGGTAACTATTTTATTAAATAACTAGCGTGTACCAGCGACTTCGTTCGCGTCGAATTAATGATTTGTAATGGTGATGATAAAGCAAAGCAAGAATTTCCATTAACATACAAACTGGATAAAATTTTCTCACATTTATGTCAGCATGAGAAAAAACAATATGGTGATATAATTATATAACTTGGTAATATTCGAGGAGTAGTTTCATCTCGTTGGAATTTGACTGTCGAAAAATCCGTTTGCCAAAAATTTTTGCTTTTCACGTCAAGCAGTTTAAGCAGAATCGTGGTTAAGAAATTACCCAACTTTTTGGAACACCCTGTATGATTTTTTGAAAAATTTCAAAATATATAAAAAAAACCAAATAAATTATGCTTGTCCAAGCGTTTTCCCGAAAGACTAACCGTTTTTTAAATAACAAATATTGTAATATTTGAGGGGCGTTTTCACCCTCTTGGAATTTGAGATTCGAGAACCCCCTCCTTATCGAATCTCTACCCCCCACAGTCAATCCGTTTACCAAAAATCAGCTTTAAATGTCAAGCAGTTTAAGTAGAATCATGATTACTCAATGATCATATTTTATGAAACACCCTGTATAGATTTATAAAAAATCTTAAAATATGTAAAACAACAAAATAAAATATACATGTTTAAGAGTATTTCCGAAAAACTCACCGGTTTTTAAATAAAAAATATTTTAATATTTGAGGGATAGTGTCATCCCCTTAGAATTCGAGTTTCGAAAAATCCCTTCTTATCGAACCTCTACACCCTAAAGTCAATCTGTTTTCCAAAAATCAGCTTTTTACGTCAAGCGCTTTAAGCAGGATCGTGATTAATCAATGACCAGATTTTTCAAAACACCCTGTATACATTTTTAAAAAATCTTAAAATATGTAAGAAACAAAATAAAATATACGTGTTTAAACGTTTTTTCGGAAACTTGACCGTTTTTTAAATAAAAAATATTGTAATATTTGAGGGGTGGTTTCACCCTCTTGGAACTGGAATTTCGAAAAATCCCTTCTTATCGAACCTCTACACCCTAGAATCAACCTCTATGCCAAAATTGAGCTTCTTACGTTGAGTGGTTTGAGCAGGATCGTGATTAATCAGATATTAGTATAGATAATATAACTTCAATTTGTTATTACAGCTTCTATAGTTATTATTTTCTTAAATTATATATGGTATGATGGAAAAGAATCGGCGTCTAGTTGGTTTAGAAATGACTGTCAATGATATTTCACATATTATAATAATTGTACATATAAAATATAAAATGGCAGCAATGTTCATTTTATAGCCATCGCTGAGGCGGTTTTTTTTTCGATCATATTGTACAAAATAAAAATGAAACTTCTACCTTCTACACCCTATATCTGCGAAACGAAGCATTTTAGGATATACAGGGTGGCGCCTCTCATACGCCACGGAAGCTCCAAGGAGAACGGTAGTTTATATCGAAATGAAATTTTGGCAGCATATGTAGGTTAACTGAAAACATTTTATAAAAATGTATAGAATTATACAGGGTGTCCCCAAAAAAAGTTACACATCAAAGTTGTATTTTTCTAATGGAACACCCTATATATTAATTAATATTAGGATTCTAGGAAAAAAATAAAGGTGAGTTTTATCCTTGTATATGAATTGTTTTATTAAAGAAGCATATACCTAAAATGTAAGGATTTTGACATATTTCACATTTTGTGAAAATGAAGAGTAAATTTTAAATTTCGATAACAGCTACAAAAAATTTTAGTTGACCTTGTATAGCCTGATATTTAATTACAGTAACCATTTATGTTAAAGCAAATTGAAATTTGACCCAAAAATTTATACAGGGTGAGACAAAATTAATATGGAACATTAGTCACTTTTAAAAGCAAGTTACTCCTTTATTTTAAATGTAACTTTTTTTATCAAGTTTTAATTTGATTTAAAGTACAATATTTAATTTAACTACATATTACGCTATACCGGGTAAATGCCAATTTAGGTAGCTTTGATTGTAATTTAAAAATTGTTCTTTATTTCTAGAAAATGTTAAATATGTCAAAAACCTTACGTTTTAGTCATATACTTCTCTTAGACAACTCACCTTTGTTTTCCTCCCAGAATCAGAAAATCAATTAATATATAGGGTGTTCCATTACAAAAAACACAACTTTGATATGTACCTTTTTTTGGGGACACCCTGTAGAACTCTATATTTTTAAAAAGTGCTCTGAATTAACCTACATATGCTCACAACATTTCATGGGATTTCATTGGAGCGTCCGCGGCGCCACCCTGTTACAACAATATAGTTCACAATATAGTGTAACACCCGATACATTATTTTTAATAATTTCAGGTTAAACAAAATGCGACTGAGCCGAAGCGAAGAATCACTGAACGGTATCCAATGTGAAACTCCCATAGTGATAACAGCCAATCCGCAAAAACTTTTGACAGCCCCACAAATTCATCACACTCAAGCACACAACTACCACCACAACATCTATTCTTCCGACGATGAAGAATACTGCTTCACTGACAGCAACGATAATAACGTTGGCAAGGATTACGATTCCTTAAGCTCAAGTAATTCCATCACCACGGAAGCGAACTGTGATTTCGAGTTCTACCAAACCAATCGCTCCAATAACAACACCACTAACGAGATTGTCGAAGTTTCGAACGACTTGTATGATAATAAAGTTAATATAATTGGATTCAAACCGATTGAATCCATGCCAGTACAAATTAATGTTAACGGTAACGGTAAAGAGAAACATAAAAATGTATCCAACGCTAGGATCACCAGATCTAATTCTAAAAGATCTCTAGAAAGTTTTCACGCTTTCATAGAAGAAACTTCAAATTTGAATAATTTGAATGTAGTGAAGAAAGAGGACAACGTAACCAAGATTGCCATATTGCATAGAAGCAACTCATATACAACTCTAGAAAATAAGAAACGAGGTAAAAGAGCAAAGAAGATTGACAGGTCCAATTCAAAATCTTCAGAGTCGATTTCCAAGTTCGAACTGGATGATAATGACTACGTCATGAAAAATAAGAAAATCAAATCAGTCGAGTACTTGCCCAATAGCACAGAAAGTGCGGTGTATATAGACGACTTAAAGAACAATAATAATGGATTTAAGTATATAACCAGCAGTGTGCCCGATTTTAAGAAAGTATTTATTTCGGAATATATTTAAGACTCTATCTTATATTTTTCTGTATATTTATCGTTTATTGTGACTAGATACATATATATATATATATAAGAATTATAATTTCTAGCATGTGTGTGTTCAACTTAACTGTTTTTCGTCTTTCTATGGTTTTACATAGAAAAAAACTTATTAGTCTTATTGATATTTTTTTCAAAAGAATCTCGCCTGTTATATACAAATATTAAATTTTTAAATTCATACAAAGAAATTTCAGCTAGAATTTTCAAAATAGTTAAGGTAGTTATGCCTTAAAATTTAATATAAAATCAGTACTTATTTATTTTTTGTAACTAGAAAATATAATATTAAAATAAATTAGTTACCAAAATAAGTCATAATTGTAAAGAATAAAGAGTGTGACTATACATCTATCTATAAAATATATCTTCTTTATGTAAATATTATGTTAGACACCCTTTTGTAATAAAAGTATTATAGCAAATAAATATGTATGAATACGTCTCAGAATTTATATCTCAATTTCTAACAGTCCCCTAGAGATTTCCTAGCAAATAATCTAGCTAGGAAAGGAGCGAACACTCCACTAACTGGACCAGAACCGTTCTGCTTTCCAAGTGGTAACCAACTCAAGGCGGAACTCAAGAACTTGGAAGATTCCATCCGCAACCTGGAATGGAAATCTTGCAATGGTCTAGGACACTCGAAGAAGTTTCTGAGGGCTTATGATCAAGAAAAAATCACAGATATTCCTGCCAAGTCTGAGTAAGAACAATCTTCGATTGTCACGGGGGTTTTTAACAGGACACTGTCTCCTCAATGAACAATCTCAGTAGATTGAAATCTAAGAAGAAACGGCGAATGCAGATTCTGTGGGGAAGATGGGTGAAACACCAGTACACCTTCATCACTGAGTGCGCCGAGACGACAACCATTCGTGCCATGAATTTTGGTACGACTGATATTGGAGATGGAGAACTACCCTCTATAAAACCGTCCCAGATACTGGCTTTTGTCAAAGCCCTGGGACTGTATGATGAGTTATGATTCAAGAAAGGGGGACACAATGGATCTCTAAGGTCGAAGTGATTAACCCCCCTCCCACTCATTCTAAATTCTAAAAATTCTAAACAGTCCCCTAGTTAAATATTAAAAACGAAACACTTTCTGTTCTTCTTCTGAGTCGTATTCATGTCTTATAAATCGTAATCTCATGGAATCAAGTACATCCATTTACTCTAGTTTTCCATGTTTGCCGAACTATTGCTTCAGTTACCAGACAGAGAATTTTTAGTGATGTATTTGTATTTTTCTGGGCTTGGTCTATCTATCTTTCTGGACTTGATCTATCCGTCTTTCTGGACTTGGTCTATCCAATAGGTAACCTACCTCTCGGTCTAAATTATCGCCCTCGCGTCTTGTGGTGTGTCGTCGGCGACATTGTAGACAATCTGTCTTTGACTTCCAACTTCTTTAGCATGTGCGTGTTTCTCTGTCTATAAATAATATTCGTAACCAACGTCGCCAGCACAACATGTCAAATGCATATTCTTCATATATCTGATGTTTTCATCGTCCAGAATTCCGCCCAGTACAGGAAGATTGAGAATATGAGGGATTTTACTAACATGATCTTTCTGTTCAATCCAATATTAAAATATTATTCAAAAAAAGGTAAGATTATTTTTTAAGAAATTCTGTATAAATTTTAATGGATTTAAAATACACATATCCATGGGCTACAAAGACGAAAACGATCGTCATTATACTGAAATATGAAGTTTAATAATATATGTTATTTGGACTAATTTAACATTTCTAAAACACGGCAGGAAATAGAAATACTAACTAATAATAGATTAAAATTATAGAAATAATTTATTTCAAAATCACACACCGAATATTCAAGAAAAAATATTTCCTTCACCATTTTGTCATATTAACGTTTTTAAGTTTACGTTTTTATTTTTAACGTTTAAGCACAAACTTTTTAATTATTTTTTTCTCTTATTCATAATGGTGTATAATAATATAATTAAGTAATAATAATATAATAAATGATTGAGAAATAAGAAATACAAAATTTCTAAATAAATTTCCTTCATCATTTTATCAACACAAGATTTATTATTAATAATTTAATTATGAATTTTACCAGTTTTTTCGTTTTATAACTCATATATTAATTATATTATTTTCATACTTTAATTGTAAATTCTTTTGAAGGAGGTTTATAATCCTTAACTATTATGTCCACATACAGGGTTACCTAGTGTTTAGAAAAATATCCATATATTAGAAGCCCTTTAAATGGAAGCTTTTGAATGAATAAATTTGCCGAATGAAGAAATAAAGGAATGTTACTTTAACAAAATTATTATCTTTTCAGGATATGTTTTCTGCACGTTTAAAATGTTTTATATTATGATATTTTGGATAATTAATATATCTAATACTGGAAATGCGAGGGAAGTAAAATTACAGCATTCCATTCAACATTCAACAAATCTACATTTATACAACATTATTGTAAGAATATATATGAATTGCTCTGTATATTTATGAAAACACTGAAGCAATAGAAAAGCTCAAATAGAAAACTGCATATGGAGCTGTTTTAGGTCACGTTGTATAAAAAATAAAATTCTCTACCTCTTGTCATAATGTAATAGCATTTATTAGAAATTATAGAATTTCTAATATTATTATTTTTATTTTAAATGCAATTAAGTTTCCTTTTTCGTTCTCTGCGTCTTTGTCGAACAAAAGAACGATACCATTTTGAATTTACTGAACTGTGAATAATTGAAAAATAATATTCCAAATAGGTAAAATGATTTCAAGTATCAGAAACAAACACTCTAGCAAAGATAATTCTATTGTGTTAACTATAATATTCTTTGACTCTAGTTACAAATATGGAAATACTGATAGCAAACGAAAGAATAGATCACGAAGTGAATATAACACACAGTAAAATTTCTACTTCATTGATATATGTAAGAATATATCGATATTATATTATCTTTGATACCAGTAAATTTACAATTTACAATGAAATTGTTTGACACTTTATTTTTATTTAAATGGAAGAAAGATATTATTACTCTACTTGAAATATGACTTAATTTTTTTTAAACCAACTGGGTTTATTTATGCTAAAAAGTAAAAAAATATATTTTTTACCTTGTAATATACTTAATATACCCTGCTGGCAAGCAAAATCTTGGGTCGGCATTTACATGTATAGGAGTGAATCGCTATGGCAATCTAGTAAGTTGGAGAGAGCAAAAATACGAAGTATTTATTATATAACCACTTAATCTGACGCGAGATTCCATACGTTTGGGAAAATACTTATCTTCTGTCTTTATTATACATCTTATTTTGCTAAGCGTGTTTACCGTACTCTTTATACAAACAAAATTCGGCACCCAAGACCAGATATGCCAGCCCTAGTATGCTTATATACAGGGTGCCCCATTTAATAAAAAAGTTTGAGTCACATTTCCGAAATGACAGCTCCCAGCGAAAAACTAGTTACCAGTGGCGGATTAAGACATATTTGCGCCTTAGGCTAATTGGGGCCAATCCCCCCCTTCTCCGCCGGAATATTATTCTTAAACAATTTATTGTTATTGAGGAGTAGCTACGCGCTGACTATGAATTAATTCATACCAATTTTGTTGTTATAACCAATTTCAGTTAAATTAAAGTAATCTATAAGGGTTGATTTTCCCAATTTTTATTTCGTAGATATGAAAAATACTCCACTGTGCGCTGGCGCCGGCGGTCTTTTTCGTTTGCGGAACTTTATCGATAAATATCAAAGGATTATCGCGACAATGGCAATTTTTGATCCAATTATTTGAGTTTTGTTTTTAAAGAAATACCCGCCAAAATTTTTGAATGTCCAGTTTGGTGTAGCAAAGCTCCTACAAACCAGGGATAATTATGCTGTCGCCGTGGCGCCTATTTTTCTTCGGCGCCCTAGGCTATAGCCTAGTTAGCCTATTGGGTAATCCGCCTCTGCTAGTTACGCCACTGGTTTCTGCGTAAATTCTCTACAGGATTCAGTTTTTATCTGTTCGATAAGTAATAAGATAACTAAGATACTAAGGGAGTCGAGAAATGCAACATTTTCAAATGCATTTCAGAAACCAAGGAGAATAGGGCAAATCTGTGTGTAGCATTTTTAGTTTCTTAAAAAAAAGTATCTAGCACAATGATGTGAAAACCGTATATTTGAATATCTACTCATAAACGAGAAAAACCCCATAAAACACACGAAAATGGGGCACCCTGTACAAATACAATTTTCTTTTTCTTTTTCCATTATATGTAATTTAAAACTCCCAGTCCGTACTCCAACGATACAGTTAGAGCGGCGAACACGATATAAAATAAATTAGTCATTCCCAAGCTTTATTTGTATTCAGTATATAAAGCTTTTTTGTCTACCTCGTCGACTAGAGTTACAACCAAACTACAACAATTATTCGTCTAATCATGATCCAGGATGCCATAAACTACGGCCTTACGGATTTAGCATTAGAAGTACCAACAGGATTTGGCACTATTTCTATTTGGTATATTTACGAAAATAATAATATTTTTTTGGATGTTGTTTATTTATTTCAACAGTATAGTTTACCATTTTTAACAAACTATGAAAATAATAATAATCTATAAACTATAAAGAGAAAATATAGAGCAACAACAATTGCCGACAAGTTTTACAATAATTATTTCAACCATATTTATTTACATTGGCCTTGGATGAAGCCAGGGATTCATCGAAATAAGCCAGATCCAGATCCCCATATACCAGTGAAACTATTATATGCCATATTCTCGAACTGTCGGGACTTAAAGTCATTGCATTGGCGAACTTATCAAAGAATTTATTATTCAGAAGCAGTGGCGGCTCGTTAGGGTAGGCAAGGTAGGCGGCGCCTACCCTAAAAATTTTGGCAGAATTTAAACGGTTTATTAATTACATTATTTACTATTAATGTTGCCAATACATAAAATTACTGTTAGTACACGGAAGTATGTTTTAATAATCAATATTATTTCAATATTTGTGGTCTTGTATATTAAAATATTCGCTATCGCTGGCGTACGCTGAAAGTGCCGCTGCGTTAGAAAATAAAATAATTTTGACCGTTGGAGTGCCTTTGTTCAGAAGTGTCTAGTCCTAGCAGTCAACTATTAAGCTTGACCAATCAGGTTGGTTAGCGTGGTTATTTGGAGTGTGTTAATTAATTTGTGTTTGTCAAAAACTCTAACGTGATTGGTCGGGCTTAACAGTTGCCTGCTAGGGCTAGACACAAGTCTTTGTTCGGCGATTTCTGCATCGCCTACTATCAGAGTCGATGCACGACGTACGGCAGTCTTCTGTCTCTGTCTAACTCATCGTGCGGTAGCGACGCGACGTAAGTCGGAGTTGTATCGTATT